TAGTGCTGACTACTTAGTGGAATTTACTGCATAGTTTTATCAAGATTTGAAGGCACTGAGGAATCTGTAAGGAAATATTTCTGAGACAATGACCCAATGGGTCACAGGTTGTCTAGTTTCAGTTAACAATAACACTGTGAAGCACAGGATGTATTGTGATAATGCAACACTAGTGGTAAGATACATTGGGATTTAAAATACCCTATTTTTCGGTCTATAAGACGCAACCCCCCCCCCCCAAAAAAGTGGATGAAATGTCTGTGAGTCTTATAGAGCAAATGTTGCCGAAGCCCCACCCATCTGCCAGCCCCCACCCTTTGGGCATTTTCAGCCTTCATGTGCCCCATTTTTAGCCTCCACACATCCCGTTTTCGGCCCGTTCCAGGTGGTGGGTTTTCCTGGAACAGGCTGAAAATGGATGTGTGGAGGCCAAAAATGGGGCACACAGAGGCCAAAAATGGGCTGCGCGGAGGTGGTGACGATCCCCACAGCCTGGCACAGCTGATTGTTGGTATTGCAGGTGGCCGATCCAACCGCCAATCAGTTGCTCATGCTAAATCAGGCTGTGATAACGTGCTGAAGCTGATCAGGCTGTTTGCTGTAAGAAAGCTAGCCAGATGAATACCAATGGATGCTGGGAGGCAGACGCAGATTTTTTAAAATTGTTTTCCTCCCGAAAAACTAGATGTGTCTTATGGTCCAGAGTGTCTTATAGTTCAAAAAATACAGTAGCTAAGTATGGAAATTATTAGATATTTATTCTGACAGTAAAAGAATGCTATTTCCAGTAAGTTGGTTTAATTGAAAACAAATGTATAACAAAGCATAATCATTTCTTTTAGTTTGCTATGATTGGAAACACCAATGCATGCTACAGACAACATACGTCTTCGTTATCAGTCACAAGTAAATTGTTTAAAATTGTATTTCTGGTTGCTCACAAAACAAATACTACTGCACATGGGAAACTGGTAAACATTCCCCAATTAACTAGACATTTTATCTCAGACTGTAGCACCAGTAAGTTTTGCTCTCAAAATGAAGCTTAAGTTCCTGCTTTGCGTTATTTCCATTCCATTTCCAGATTCTTCTGGGTTATTTATTATCTACAGTTGTGATGTCTGAATTTAGCAACTATAGCTGTCACAACTCAGAATCTGCCTCTAAATCCAAATCAAAGACCTAATTCAGCTCATGTTTTCAATTCTAATTAGAGACAAACAATGATTTGCACTAACTGTAGTTTTCCTAATTTAGAGGTTATATCTAAAACTATAAAAATCAGAACCAGGAAATGAAAGGGGCATTAGGATTCATGGGCTCAAGCTGTAGCTCCAAATACAAGAAAGCCATATGATATATCAGTACAGTTATTTGTTTCGTTTTATATTACATTTATATTAAAAAGTCAATTTCTATTCTTAATGCACCACTGTCTCTAAAAAAGCTATACCACAATGCCAGATTACTAATGTTAAAGCAGGGGCTGCGTGTTGGGAAATGGACTGCGCAAATGGCGGGCGAGTGCACAAACCTTAATTTGTGCATGCACAGGAGCTAGGTTTCATGCACGAAATCATCCCCTCACCACCACCGTCACCACTGCTGCAGGTCCATGGAATGAGAAAGGTTAGGGACTACTGTGTTAGATGATATACCGGTAAATGAAAGTAATTAATTAAAGAACATAGCAGTAATATACAGACTCACCAATAGATACGTCACCATCTAATAAATTGTCATCCTCAGAGGTCTGGAAATCCATGATAACACCAGCTCCATCTAGCAATTCTTCATCACTACTAGCACTAGTTATGCTGTTGTAACTATTTCTATAGTAACCTCTAGGGAACAGTTGTTCAGACTCCATTTAGCTTCCTTTGTAAGCAAAAAGAAGAAGACAGAAATAATTAGATGTACACTTCTCTTTAAAGAGGAAAAACAAAAAGGAATTTTGAAGTAATATACATGCTATAAGTGGAATATTTCAATGACGCTATGGTTAACAGAGTGAGGGGTCTGTGAGACTCTTTGAGTTTGGTTGTTTTCTTGCAGACATTTCATTAGCCAAATTAGATAACATCATCAATGCTAGTCCACTAGCACTGATAATGTTATCTAGTCCAGGCAATGGAGCATATGAAAGAAAACAACCACGCTGAGAGGACCCCCTCATGTCAACCCTGAGCTATAAATATTCTCTCTTATTGTTAACAGAGAATATTATTCACACAAGGTGCTGAAAATTATTTAAAGGTAATTTAAAATTTTTAATGAAATTTTGACTTTAATATTTTGAATGTTCCTGGCACTAATGTATTATTAATACTACAAAAACTACATAATTTCAAAAAATAATTTTCCCTGCCAAAAACATTTTTTGAAATCTACAGAAATTACTAAATGTGTTCTTAAGAAAATACTACATTTCCAAAAATGATGACTGGAGGAAATATTTCTTAATGGAAGGACAGAAAGATGATAAACATATAAGCATATAAACTATAGGCTATGAATGAAAGGCGTTTCTTTTCCACAATGGAAAAAAGGGGCAATGAACAAATATAAGAGAAAACTGAAAAGCATAAAAGTGTGATGAGAACAAATTTCTCTGCTAATAACCTGAGGACATATTTTGTATGTAATGGTGATTTGCTTATTCATAATTTTCTATCAGAAAAATTTCATAATTATAGCACCTGAGTTTCAATACAGGTAGTCCTTGACTTATAGTCATTCATTTAGTGACAATTCAAAGTTATAATGGCACTGCAAAAAGTCACCTATGACTGTTTTTCACACTTACAAATGTTGCAGCATCCCCATGGTCACAGGATCAAAATTCAGACACTTGACAACTGGCCTATATTTATGACAGATGCATTGTTCCAGGATCATGTAATTACCATTTATAACCTCCCCAGCTGGCTAATGACAAGCAAAGTCAATAGGGGAAGCCAGATTCACTTAACAACTGCATGATTCACGTAACTGCGGTGATTTGCTTAACAACTGTGGCAAAAAAGGTCATAAAATGGGACACAATTCATTTAGCAATGGTCTTGCTTAGCAAAATAAACTTTGGGCTCCATTGTAGTCATGGTTATTTGTAGTTTACTGCGCATCCCTGCCCCAATTCACTAAAGCATAGTAAGCATAAGACATTCAACCTTCAGCAAGTAGAAAGTTTGGCTTGCAACTTTATATCTCATTGGCAAGCTCTCTAACAAGGAGGGAAATTGGTGAAATCTTTATGCTCAGAACATAGAAAATGTTCCCTGAATCTCAGCCAATATTAAATATTATTTGATTTTTTAAAAACTCTGTCTNATTGTTGTTGGGGGCAATATGCTGACTCTGTAAACCGCTTAGAGAGGGCTGAAAGCCCTATGAAGCGGTATATAAGTCTAACTTCTATTGCTATTATCTAAAAAGTTTATATACTGTATAAGTTATACTGGGTCAGGCAATTTTTCTATCCCGGTTACGCTGAGTTTACATATTTAAAATTTAACTGATAACGCTAAAGAAAAATGTTGGTACATGATCAGTTCTAAATTCTCTGTTTTAGGCAGCTTGTGGCAACATAAAGTAATCTTAATTCTGGGTTTTAAATGCAAAATTGTTATACTGAATTTTTATTTGTTTTAAAACTCAAAATTGTGAAAGCTATTAGGATACTTCATAAAGTGTATTAGTGCAGGTGAAGCATTCTCTTCGAAGCATTATGCTAGTGTGTCTTTTGCAAGGGTCAGTATAGTTATATGCTCTCTCTGTGTATGCATGTACAGAAAATGCCATTACAGTGAAGCAAAAATGAATGTATACACACAGATATGCAAACTGTGGGAAAACTTCAAGTGGCCACATTGACCTTAGCAATTGCCTAGAAAAGTCCCTGCAGTGTTCTTGGAAAAGTTTTTCAGAAATAGTTTTTCACTGTCTTCTTGCTAAGGTTTAGACCGCAGGAGTGTCAAACTGGTGGCCTGTGGGTCTGATGTGTCACATACAGGCCATACCTATCCCAGGTCAGCGAAGGGAAAAACATCTAGAAACATCACATGACAGCAATGTGACACCGCGAGTTTGACACCCGTGGTTTAGAGAGATTGACTGGACCAACTGGCTTCCAGTTTCTAGCCTGGTGCCTTAATGTTTGGTGTTGCACTGCACCAAACTGGTTCTGATTCCTGAAGACATAGAAACTTCAATTTGAGGAGGACCTTTGTTTATATCAATATAGCAATAGCACTTATATACCGCTTCCTAGTGCTTTTACAGCCCTCTCTAAGCAATTTACAGAATCAGCATATTGCCCCCAACAATCTAGGTCCTCATTTTACCTACCTTGGAAGGATGGAGCCTTGAGCCGGTGAGATTTGAACTGCCAAATTGCAGCTAGCAGTCAGCTAAAGTAGTCTGGAGTACCTCACTCTAACCACTGTGCTACCACGGCTCATAATATACTCTGTGAAGTTCCATTTGAATTTTTGCACTGCTCCAAATTTCTCATTGCTGCATTATTTGTCTTCTTATGCTTATGGCAGTTGAATCCCTTCAAAGTTTGCATAGTTGCAGATCTTACCAAGTGGTTTATGGAGGCATTCCATTTTTCCAAAACAAAAATTTGAGATTTATAATACAGAATTCCCCCTTTTTTATTGGCAATTTGCTGTAAATAAAAACTAATTCTTTTTAGTGAGTGCTACTTTGAAGATAATATGGATTCTCTAATTGTTACTAGTGTTTGTATATTTTGTAAATTATTAATAAGCCAGCTATTCCTCTGTTTCCCATTCTTTGAAAAACAACTATAAAACAAAGCAAACAGGAACACAAGCTAAGTATAGCATAACTGAAACAAACAAACAAAAATGATTCAGGTTGTAGTATATTTAAATCTTGATAGTATTAAACTAAGTAGTTTAGAGACCAGTTTAGAGTGTAATTTTAATCTAACAAATGCTAAAAGAATAAACTGATTTTCTCCACAGCTTATGAATAAGGATGCCTTAAAAAGCTACCATGGACAAATATATTAAGGTGCAAAAGATTGGTGAAGGATCTTTTGGAAAAGCAATTCTGGTTAAAGCAAAGGAAAATGGCAAACAGTATGTTATTAAGGAAATTAACATATCCAAGGTATGTCTCTCAAATCATTTTTCCTTTTCATTATTCTATTTACAAATAAATTTTAAGAAATAGTGCTTCATTTTTTTAAGATGTCAAATAAAGAAAGAGAAGAATCAAGAAGAGAAGTTGCTGTTTTGGCAAATATGAAACATCCGAATATTGTTTTGTACAGAGAATCATTTGAAGGTAAGTCGTAATGATAAACTGATAATTTGAAGTCAGGCACAGAAGTCTTAAAACACAAACTCAATTAAAGATATGAAATTGTCAGAATTTGCTTAAATAGTATTTTTACTACCCAGATTTTCTAGTTGATTTTCTTGTCTATGTTGCAATTTCATGTCTGCTGATGAGGAATAAGTACAGCTAATTCCTTACAAGGAATAAGTACTATTACGAGCATTCATTTAATGCCTCTTTGAAATTATGAGATAAGCACCCATAGTGTTTACAAGCAAGTCCCAAAATTACGAATGTTGTAGCATCACAAGTTGTTCACCCTTATGAACAATTGCAGGTCTGCAACAGTCACCCTATACTCTTGGTTCCCCATAACTTCCTCCTCCCATATTGCCCTCCATTTTCAAAGGCGTCATGCCTGCCTATGGAGCATTTCAAAATGGAGGGGTTTGCTCTGTTTTCAAAGGCCTCATAGGCGTAGATGGCATGGTTCCTCAAACTACGGCCCATGGGCCACATGCAGCCCACCAAAGCCATTAATCCAGCTTGCACAAGACCACAAGGCTGCCCCGCCCACATCATCCCACCCACCCTTCAGCTGAGTGCAGGACTTACCTTTCGAGCCCCATGGGCTGGAACTGAAATGTAAGGCCAACGGTTTTGGCCGCAGAGATGTTTTGGAGGCAGGGGATGTGAAAAACAGGGTGCATAGATGCCCCAGGAGACCAAAAAATGGGCAGAAATGGCCCATTTTTGCCCCCAAACAAGCCATTTTTGCCAGTGGCTGCAGGATGCTTCCGTAGGTGGTGGTGGTGAAAAACGAGGTGCACAGACACCCCAGGAGGCCAAAAAATGAGCCATTTTTTCCTACTTTTGGCCAAAAATCCAGGCTGTTTTTGCCTGTTTCTTGCCTGCAAAATTCTTCTGGAGCTGGGGGGGGTGTAAAACGGGGCACACAGACACCCCAGTAGGCCAAAAACCTGGCAAAAATGATCTTTTTTTCACCTTCCCCACCTCCAGAAGATAGATAAAGAGAGAGAGATAGACAGGGAGAGAGAGAGACAGAGGGAGGGGGAGAGAGAGATTTTTCAAGCTCCTTGTGGCTGAGAAGAATTGGTGCAAAAATGAGCTTCCTGAAGTGGACCACTAGACTCCTAAACAACTGGAAAAAAAATAATCTAGTAAAAAGAAAAGGCAACCAAAAGAGCAACATGCAAACAAAAGCAAATAAAACACTCCNTATCCCTGGACGGTAAGATCCATGTGCGCACTGCGCACGTTTATGTGGAGGATGCCAGGCCAGAACCCACCACTGCCTCTAAGTAGTTTACACAGTTAGCATATTGCCCCCAACAATCCGGGTCCTTGTTTTACTGACCTTGGAAGGATGGAAGGCTGAGTGAACCTTGAATTGGTCGAACTTTTTAATTAAAAAGTTTTATAATAAAATTTGGGAACATATTCAAGGAATATTAAGATCTAACATACCAAATCTTTGGTATATTAAGGGACATAATAAAAAAAGAACTCTACATTGTTTACATTCCTCTAATAATAACTATAGTGCCTTGCTGAGATGCATAGGTCTGTCCTACATCCTGCAATCTAAAGGAAAATATCTTGGCAGGAAGAGAAGTATGAGGACAATGATTATGCAACTTAAAATTTAGATTCAAAATTTGGAACAAAAGAAGATCAAGCACAGTCAATTGGATTAAAACTTTTCTAATGAAAGATGGCCTTATGCGAGTAGTTTCATACACACAATATTCTAAAACAAGTTGTGGCTAGGCTTAACCTATCTCCAAAGTCACACCAAGGTAATGATTTTGATTAAAACAGATAGCATTAAGCATAGCCTAAAAATCACAACAACCTCCTCCTTTTGCCTTCTCAGGAAAGGCATTGTCACTGCTTCAAGTACATTTTAAAAGAAACATTGTAGGAAGCATCCTACAGAAACATTTACCTATGGATGTCTTCTTTCATTCAGTTAAAATTAACCCTTCACACATATTATTCAATTCACAAGATACAAACAGCAATTTAATGAGGTCATCTCTTAACAGGACAGATTCCAAAAGAATATTCATGGAACAAGGAAGAAATTACTGAATACAAGAAAGATTGCCCACTGTTTTTCTTTTTCATCCATACAGTAGGGATATTTTGTCCAATAAGATACCATATAAAGTTTCTCCCTTTTTTCCAGAAAGGAGAAAAGGAGAGCAATAAAAAGTAAAGCAGCATCAAAGTCAACAGTTTAAAATCCTTGTAAAATATTACCTTTTTTAAAAAAAAAAAAAGAAACACAGGACAACCTTTGACTTCAAATGTGCTAAGACTGTAACTCCCAGAATTTTCAGAAACTTGTTCTAACACTTCCAGAAAGCATCAGGATGAGGAACGCTGGCTTCAGCAGAGGAAAACTTTATTAGTTAACCTCCTGCTACTATAAAGTCTAGGGTAGAACAGCCAGAGCTTGAGACAATGCTTGTCTTTTCATTCCCGTTTTAGATGTAACATATATAGAAAGGCAGGCTTGCCACCACCATCTCTCTTGCAGTTAAATGGCGGCGGGAGGAGGAGGGAGGAGTGTGTTTGTCTGGAGAAGGATGCCGGCAACATCTCTAGCTAAATCACATCTCTTCCACTCACGCATATATATATGCATCTACTGTAATGTTTGTCACACTCTGGTTTTGCGATCGCGCCTCTGAAAACGATTCCTATCTCTATCCCCGATCTAGCGCCCGGGCTAAAATCCGCCCTACCTGGCCGCGTGGCGCCGCCTGGTGATTCCCGGAGAGGGTCTCACACATCCTCCTGCACCTGAGCTGGGAAGAAAATCCAGGACTCTCCGAGAAAGGGGTGGGACTTCGTAGAGGCAGGACGAACTTCTCGACATCAAATCTTACCAACCAATCAACTTCCGACGCCGTTCGCATAACAGAAGCTTTGTTAGATGGAGAGGTAAGCTTTCTGTGCCGCGCAAGCGCAGAGAAGGACTTTATTAATGGGCCTGGCACTAGAAGCCTCGTTCCAATTGGTTTGCGACTTTGCGCATCCGCCTGAACAGGTTTGTCAAATACCTACGTAAACTTGCTGACCCAAGAATATTGTAGTAACAACGAGGGGTTTCTCACTCCCATTTCCGCCACATGTTTTAAGATTTGAACCTCCAGATAGGAACTAATAGCCTGAACTGGAGGACACGAATTTGAGGAAGGTATAAAAATATATAGCTTGCATTTTAACATACACACCCATCTAATTTAATAAATGCAGTTTGTAATTCCCCAAAATGTACATCTATTAATTTCCTAAATATTATTGCAAACCAGTACCTTTAACTCAATTTTACTCTGAGTATTAGGGTTAGGGTTTGTTTGCCTCAGAATCACAAGACCAAATCTTGAGAACAAATACATACAAAATCAAACTTGAGAAGAAAATTCTGCTTTTGCAAAGAAATTAAAGAAACCATGGAACACCTGGTTAGCTGCTACAAGAAGACTGCATAAATGGATTATAAACAACATTATGACAAAGTAGCAAAAAGTGCATAGGAAAATCTGCAAGAAATATTTGAGTGTAAGTTTTTAAATAAAAAATAATAAAGGGGGAACCATGAAATAGACAAAGTAATAGAAAATAAAGACGTTTGAAGTGCTTTGGGATTTTAGAATTAACAGACAATCACCTGTTACATAACACTCCAGACTTAACAATTGTTTATAAGAAAGACAAAATGTCTGGACAGTGGACTTGCAGTACTTGGAGACAGTTCAATATAAGATAAAGAACTGGAGAAAATCACAAAATACAAAGACCTGCAAATAGAAGTAGAATGGCTATGGCAAAAGAAAGCAAAGATACTACTCACACCAGTAGACAGATTGAATACAATCTCAAAATACATCTGGAGCATTTGAACACCATCGGGATTAACAAAATTGTCACCAGTCCAAAAGGCAACTTTACCTGGAACAGACTATATCCTGAGATGATATCTTTAACACTAACAACATCTGCCTATTCCAGGTCCTTGGGAACAACTTGATAGGTAGATTAAAATGTCAAACCCAGTCTAAACATCTGGCTGACTGTGCAAGCAATCATAAGTTGATTGGTTTGACTGATTGAAAACTTGCCATTTTAAGTAATTTATTGGGAAAAAAATTTAAGTAGGTAAGTAGAATGTGGATCTAATGCAAACTCTGCATCTTAAAACATTCCTCTAATTTTTGAAGATTGACTGAAATAAATGACATTCTAGGCACAATTTGTTTTTTTTTCTTTTAAATGTTTTGTAACTTTGTCAAGGATTTATTTCTATAAAACTGTTGAATTTGGTTAATTTGATGGGAATGTGTTTCCTGACCTGCTTTCCAAATTATGGATTTGGTAGCTGATGTTAGTCTGGCTTAGAAATAGGCAATTTTTAAAAAGATTTCTTAAATTCAGAATTTTGCTTGGAAGATTTGAGAGTTATAACAACAGGGGCCCCCTGATTTTGTGTGATTAGTAAAGTTAATTGCTTTGATGGCAAAAATGGTTTTCTGTGGCTATTTTAAGGAAACATTCAATTGCAAGTAAGTAATGAAATATGGTTTCAGTGAAAATTTTGGACCTTTTTGCACCAAAGATGAAAAAAATTCTTACAAACCCAGAAATTGGACCAATACAGCTGGCTGGAGAGAGGCACTATGCAGTTCTAGTTTGTTCTTGACAATTTTAGAGTTAAGAGGTTGTTGGAAGAAATGCCCATCTGGGTTCAGTTAGAAGTGGAGAGAAAGACACTGGAAACATGGAGAGTGCTTGGAAAGATTGTTTAATGGTGGACAGTACCACATGGTTTGAGGTCCTGGGTAGCTGATCACATGGACTGTAGAGTGAGATATATTTATACCATCTCTTGGGCTTTGAACTTGTTCCTGGTCCTGTAAAAGAAATGTATTCTGATTGTTTGTAGAACTCCCATGGGGACATGCAGAGGCAACTTTGTGGGTTGTCTTGAGTCCAAGGCTTGGTTGAATCTTGCTCGGTGATGTAATCTTCCCAGGTGCCATGTGGTGAGATGGGTAGAGGGCTAATCATATTATGTCCTGAGGGTGAAGGTCTTTTGTGTTGTAGGTAAGCTGGCCCAGCCTTTTGTCCTGTAGATAGGATGGTCCAGTCTTTCTGGGGCTATTAACAAAGGTGGGGGCTGCTTTCCAAGAGCATTTTCTCATCCAGGGAGGTATACTTTCTGCCTTTTAATATTTCCTAGAATATGTCATTCTTCTAGCAGAGGGGTGGGTGCTAACTTCCTACAAAGTCAATCATTCTTAATATTGAAAGAATTAGAATTCTCTACTGTGCTCATTTGCTTATTTTAAAATTTGCCTATTCGGAATACTTATCTTCAATAAATTATAAGATTATTTGTGGCTTGGTTTCCACTTAAAGTCTACATTTGTAGAATCAAGAATTTTTTTATTAGAAAAAACAATGAAGCCATATGAAGCATAAAAAATTGGCTCAGAAATAAGCTTATTTAGTCAACTATGTCATCAACGGTTAAATTATATGCAAAATAAATAGTATAATAGGAAGAATTAAGGTTCTGAATTAGTACACATGGCGCTAACGAAGTACCGAAACGCGTGCAATGTAAAATAAAATATGCAATAGAGACGATTCTTACGTTAAGCCAGCCTGCGCTGGGCTCCCCCTCCTTTCTAAGGCTTCCACGTCGTCACGTGGTCTTTCCCTCGCCGTTGCTAGGGTGAAGCTGTAAGCAATTAATGTGGCGCTCCCTATCTGGTACATCCAAACCCATAGGTTCCGTTTCGTCCAATGAGAGCGAAAGTTTTAGATCGCCTTCCTATAGCAAACCGAAAGAGGTGGGACTTGAGGCTCGGTTGAAGTAGTTGAAGAACAGATGGGCTCCCTAATGAGGTTGTGCAGAGACGTGGGAAGCTTCTTGTAGCGGGACACGGATGGCTTTTCTCATATTACTTACAACAGATTTGAAATTTGCTCCGTGGTGAATCACGGTCGTTGCCTTGTAAGTTACCTCAATTTTGTGTTCTTAGTTCTTTCTGCGGAATGGGTGTGTCAAAGCTAGAACTGCAGTGATCATTCTGAAGCGAGAAGGCCTCTTGTTTCCAATCACAGAGTCGGGCAGCTGTGTTGGGAACCGGGGAACGCAATTTCGGAAGATATTGTAATATAAATGATTATTTAGAGAATTCTTATCCACAGCTTGTTAAACGGTCTTTAGTATTCAGAAACTACCATAACGTGAAAGTCTGCTGAAAAAGTTAAAATCTCGCTTTGTGCTGTTACGATGAATTCAAGGATGAATGCTAAAAACTGGTTACATCCTTGAAAATGTCTGTACTGCAGTTTAGTATAATGCAGTAGTTTTTTCTTTGAAATCAAAGAGAAAGACTTGCATGTTATAAACAAAACTCATGAGAAATTTCTCCCTCAGTCTTCTGTGATGGGTGGGGAAGATCATCTACCTAGAAGCATCCAAGTAGCAACCCTTTATCTTAAAACAGTAAGGTAGCTTATTTTGAACAGAGATAGCTGTACTGTATAACAGATTGGATAAGTCTGTTTCTTTTATTGGGACTTCTGTTTGCTACCTTTTATCTACTAGTTACCAGGTGTATGACTATATTCAGGAGCTTATGCCAGCAGTTTCATAGACATGACACAGCTAAATGTTACCTTATTCTACACAAGTGAGATATGCAGAAAATCAGCAAAACAGAGAAAATCAAGCCATTTGCCTCTGCCTGCTTCAATGTTCAGCATACTTGGATTCTGGGCCTTGTCCTTTCACTTTTTTAAGTCAACAGACTTCCTTAGTTCTTTTTCCCAGCCTTGAGAGTTGGAGACCTCTGTCCTATGTTTATATAAGCACACACCCCCCCCCCAGTTTGAATGTTTAGTTCCTACCTTAGCAGGTGCTGTGGAAATTTAATTTACCAAATTCTAATTTTCTATCCAATGACCCTGATTATTACTTTTAGGTATAATTACAAGAAAAATTTCGTTCCCTATAAACGAATTCCTTTGAGGCAGAATAAAACTGCTACTAATACATTCTGTTACTCATCAGGAAGTAAAGGTTGAGTTTCTGCAAAGCAGTTCCATCTTTCACTATAGTTAGACATTCAAAGAGGATAAGCTGAGAACTCCAGATCCACAAAAATCAATAGGTAATATTCTAGTACCCTGTTTCCCTGAAAATAAGACCTCCCTGGATAATAAGCCCAATTGGGCTCTTGGGCGCATGTACTAAAATAAGCCCTCCCCAAAAATAGGCCCTCCCCCAAAAATATTGCAACAGAGCAGCAGTCATGAGGTGACCACGCTCGCTGCCTCCCACACCTCAAAAATAATAAGACCTCCCTGAAAAGAAGGCCAAGCTCTTATTTCGGGAGTCAAAAGAAAATAAGACCCTATCTTATTTTTGGGGAAACACGGTATATCAAGGCACTTTCATTCTCTAAATATGATTAATTCCTAATAGCTTAATTTAAGGCAGTTAAATATCTTATTTTACCTATAGTTTATATAAAATAATATTTGTCTCTTAATTATAAACATGTTCATTGACAACCCAAAACTTTACTCCGGAGCTATTCTCAAAGAAGAAGAAATGTTGGAAATAACTAATTTAGCATAAACCTGATTTAGGTAAACATGCATAGGACTAATTTACATAACTGAGATTCAGATTCAGACTTAATGAAATGGTTCAAACAAAGCATCTAAATTATCTTTGGTTAATTCAAGCTATACTAGTGCAGAAAATTAAAAAGTTATTGCTTTGGTGAGGTGTCTTATCCTTAGAAATGACATTATGCAATGTTATGAGCCAAGGTGGCGCAGTGGTTAAATGCAGCACTGCAGGCTACTTCAGCTGACTGCAGTTTTGCAGTTCGGCTGTTCAAATCTCACTGGCTCAGGGTT